GTACTTAGCATAGTGGTAATAAATACAGAACGGCTCAACAGCATTAGCTGTTATCATAGCATCACCTTTAACACAGGAATCATCAATACTCACATCTCAGGCCTGCTGAAAAACTACAATGTACTGAAGTGGGCACTGGGTCTGGCAAACCATGGGCCCTTAATAAATAGCAGCTATTCAGCCGGGCTCGGTGGCTTAGCCTGTAATCCTGCGCCTTTGGGAGGCTGAGGTGAGTGGATTGCCTGAGCCCGTGGGTTCGAGACCCACCATGGCAACTTGGCGAGACCTCATCTCTACAATAAATTTAAAAAAAAATTAGCTGGGCGTGGTAGCACGCGCCTGTAGTTCCAGCTACTTAGAAGGCTGAGGCAGAAGGATCGCCGGAGCCCAGCAGGTCGAGGCTGCGGTGGCTGGGAGCGGCCACTGCACTCCAGTCTGGGTGACAGAGTGAGACACCATCTCAAAAAAAAAAAAAATAGTAGCTATTCATTCCTGAGCACTCAGTGTTCCTGGCCCACTGCTGGGTCCTCAACTATGATCAATACAGACTCAGGCCTTGCTTCATGGCCACATTAGAGTTATTCTTTTTTGCTGTTATTGCTGTTTGTTTTTTACATTAGAGTTATTCTGACACCACCAGAGATGGGCTCTCTGTCTTAGTTCACTGATTCCTTCCTGGGTGGCAGAAGTAAGTGAGGCACTCTCAGAGTTTCCTCTGTCTCTGTAAAGTGGGGGCAAGAACAGTCACTGTCTCATGGGTGACTAGGGATTCAAAAAAATCTACACAGCTAAAGCCCTCTCACATGGTGCCTGCAAACGAATGATCAATAGTAACAGTTATTGTTAATATTTTTGTATTTATTCATCCCCCCCACCAGAGTTTTGTTTTTTGTTTTGAGTCATGGTCTCATTCTGTTGCCCAGGCTGGCGGGCAGGGACATGATCATGGTTCACCACAGCTTCAATCCTCTGGGTTCAGGTGATTCCCCTGCCTCAGCCTCCCAAGTAGCTGGGACTACAGGTGTGCACCATCACCCCCAACTAATTTTTAAAAAAATTTTTTTGTAGCTGGGCTCGGTGGCTCAGCCTGTAATCTCATGCTTTGGAAGGCCAAGGTGAGTGAACTGCCTGAGCCCGCGGGTTCAAGACCCGCCTAGGTAACTTGGCAAGACCTCATCTCTACAATAAATCAAAAAATTAGTTGGGTGTGGTAGCACATGCCTGTAGTTCCAGCTACTTGGAAGGCTGAGGCGGAAGGATCGCCGGAGCCCAGCAGGTCAAGGCTGCGGTGGCCAGGAACATGCCATTGCACTCCAGTCTGGGCGACAGTGACAGTGTGAGACTCCAACTCAAAAAAAAAAAAAAAAAAAAAAAGGAAGGAAAAAAAAAAAAGAAAGGCCAGGGGCCAGGCTCAGTGGCTCAGCCTATAATCCCAAGAGGCAGAGGCGAGTGGATTGTCTGAGCCCGCAGGTTGGAGACCAGCCCAGGCAACTTGGTGAGACCTCTTCTCTACAATAAATAAAAAATTGGCCGGGTGTGCACCTGTAGTTCTGATTACTTGGAAGGCTGAGGCAGAAGAATTGCTACACTCTAGCCAGGGTGACAGAGTGAGACTCCAAATCAAAAAAAAGAAAAAGAAAAAAAGAAACGATTGGGACTTGAGTGTTTTAGATTTGGAATTTTTTCAAATTTTGGACCACTCACATAACATAATGAGATACATTGGGATGGAACTCAAATCTAAACACAAGACTCATTTGTTTCATATATACCTTATATACGTAGCCTGAAGATAATTTTACACAATATTTTAAATAATTTTGTGGGCCGGGCTCGGTGGCTCAGCCTGTAATGCCAGCACTTTGGGAGGCCGAGGTGAGTGGACTGCCTGAGCCTGGGTTCGAGTCCTGCCTGGGCAACTTGGCGAGACCTCATCTCCACTATAAATCAAAAATAGCCAGGCGTGGTAGCACGGGCCTGTAATTCCAGCTACTTGGAAAGCTGAGGCGGAAGGATCGCTGGAGCGCAGCAGGTTGAGATTGCAGTGGCCGAGAGCGGCCATTGCACTCCAGTCTGGGTGACAGAGTGAGACTCCAACTCAAATAATAATAATAATAATAATAATAATAATTTTGTGAATGAAATAAAGTTTGTGTTAAATACTTATGTGTGAAACTTTCCACTTCTGGCAGAGCATCATGTCAGCCTGCAAAAAGTTTCAGATATTGGAGCATTTTGTATTTCTGTATTAGGGATGCTCAACCTGTATGTATGTACATACATCTTAAGTGTGTTAAATCCCAAAGGGGAAGAACAGAGAACTATGATGGCATTTACAAATGACACCTGACTGAGTCTGGGGGGCAAGAGAAAACTTCCCTGAGGTCTGAGATCTGATAGATGGGCAGTAGTTAAACACAAGCTGAAAGAGGTCACACAAAGATTCTGTGGCAGGAGAGTGCTTGGGTCAATGGAGGACTAGCAAGGAGGTCAGAATGACTTGTGCAAAAGAATGCGGCAGAGAGTGGGGTGGCATAAATCTGGAGGAGGGCCAAAGGCCACACCATGCAGGGTTTTGAAGGCTATAGTGAAGAACCTGGGCTTTCTCTCAAGGACCAGGAGCCATGGAGTAATTATGAGCAAGGGAGGGCCCAGAGTCAGCTTTGTGCTTTAGAAAGACTTCTCAGGTCCCTCTGAGGAGAACAGGTTGAAAGGAGCAGGACTGGAGGTGAGGAGACCAGGGAGGAGCTGGGGTAGTGCTACAGCAGCAAAAGGGAATGTCTATATAAGTATCACCTAACAGAAGAACTGAACCTAATAAACAAGTGCTAGTTCTTTTTTGTTGTTTTTTGTTTTGTTTTTTTTTTGAGTCAGGGTCTCACTCTGTCACCCAGATTGTAGTGTAGCAATGCGATCACAGCCACCACAGCCTTGACCTCCTAGGCTCAGGTGATGCTTCTGCCTCAGCCTTCCAAGTAAGAGACTACTGGCCCATGTCACCATGCCTGGCCAACAAGAACCATTTCAAGCTAGAATCCCAAGGACAAGCAGAAGTGAAATAGGTGAGGGAATGCATTACAGGCCAAAGCCCTGTGACGGAAGAAAGAGAGAGAAAAGGCCAGTGGAGCCGTCCAAAGATAAAGCTGAGAGGTCAGACCACGTGGGCCTTTTAGGCCAGGGGTGGAGTTTGGTTTTTCTCTCCAAAGGCAACTTATGAAAACGGGAGAGGGAAGTCAGATTTCACTTAATAAATATTGATAGCACTCCTATTGTGTGCCACACCAAAACTCAAGAGTGGCTGAGCTCTTCTGGGCATGGGGAACACAACAATAAGCAAAACAGATGATGTTCTGGACATAGCCAGACTTATGTCTGACCTGCTCTGAGTGTTAGAGACTTTCCTCCTTTCTGCTAATCCCAGATCTGCACTCTGAGGTCACACCAATCAACACAGCTTACTATAGCAAACAGAACCCCTCAGGCTCTTACCACTGGTCACGCTCAAGAAACAATTAATTAACATACTCCCGAGGAACTGGGGCTCTCATCTTGGCAAACTTCCAAGCCCAAGTTTTACCAGAATGACCAGGGCCCTACCCTTTGGAGGATCTCCCACTCCAGATCAAAAGCCTGTTACTCACGATCTTTTCATAGTACTCCCGCCTGCGCTCTGCCCTCTTCTTGTAGTCGACCATCATGCCTCGAAGCTTCCGCTCATGCTTCCGCGCCTCGTGCCACATTGTGGTGAGGCCAAGCCTGGGGCCTCCACCTGAGAGATGAGGGGACCAGGAATGTCAGATGGGCTGTAAAAACCATATGGACAGAATCAAAGTCACCTGACAAGTCAGTGATCCTAAACAACACATCACTCAGCTTCAGGGAGCAGAAGTGAGGCTGCGGAACCCTGGGCCAGATGTTCAAGTGCATTCCTGACAACTCTGATCCTGTCGCTTGGGCATTCTGAGAAACCCTCGGGTGATTCTGGGGTGAGCATCCCTGGGAGAGGAGTGGCCTAGATTCCACGCGCTGGCATCCGCGATGAAAGGTTTTGAAACCAAAGCGCAGCGTTCGAGGTATGGTCAGAAGGCAAACCCTGAGAACCCAGGGCTGGAGCTTAAGGGGAAGAGCTGAAAGGGCTCCCACTAGGGGCAGTCGTGGCGTGGGTACGAGTGTGGGTTGTGGATGGACGGATGGATGAAGGGAGGCAGAGGAAATCTAAGACTTTGTGGGAACGGTGTAGTGGCTGGGAGGCGGGGGTCGAGGGCAGGTGAAGGACGTGGACGGGAGACAACGCTCGAGGGAGGAGGGGAACACCGGGGGAGCTGCACAGAGCAAAGCTGAGATCTAAAGAGAACCAAATGGGGGGGAGCATTTCCAGGTAAAATAGGGGTAGGGCCTGAGGGAGGGGAGCTGGCTGACGCGAGGGGGCGGACTGGGCTGGGGGGCAGGGCTCGTGGACCAGGTCGCAGCAAGGGGGTCTGGGCTCAGTTTTTTGACAAGGGGGCGGCGCCTGTGACAAGCTGCTAGGCAGAAGGCCGAGTCTGACGCGCCGACTTCAGGCCCACAGCGCGGGGCAGGGGCGCGGCCTGAGGCCCGTCAGGCCGAAGGGGGAACGGGACGGACGGCGCTCGGGGCCGGCGCCCAGCAGAGGCCCACAGCGGCATGGGGAGAGCCCAAGGCAAGGGAGAAGCTGGGCTGACGCCCGCCCGAAAGCCAGGAGGTCGGGGCCCGCCGATTGCACTCACCGGTCGGTCACCGCCTCCCACCGCTGCGCTCGCGCGCGGCCCGCACCGGAAGCGGAAGTGGGAGGCCGCCCGGGGAGGGGGCGGAGCCTAGTGGGGCTACGCGCAGCACACTTCCGCCGGCGTGGGGGGCGGGGCCTGGAGTTGAGAGGGGCGGAGTCTAGAGGAAGGAGGGGTTGAGGCGGAGCGAGGAGAGCGTGGAGCTCAGCCTCGGGAGGGAACCTGGCGTGTTTCCCAAGCGGAGAAGAGACGACACCCCCAAGGATCAAAAATTCATCTTTATTGGGAAGACTGACAAACAACCTACCCCCCCACCCTCAAGTTTGGGGAGGGAGGGCTGAGGATCTGCCCCCTCCTCCCTCCTGTACAATCTTTTCAGAATCCGCCTGGAGGTGTCCCCACACGTGGGAGCCGAGGCAGCTTTAACAGGCCAGTGCTCGGGAGCCAAGCCTCTAGTCCTCTCCAGACTCAGTTTTCGCATTTGTAAAATGGGCTCAAGAGGGGAACTCGTGCTACGGAGCTCCTCCCCAGCGCTGAAGATGTCCGATTCGGAAGCATGAGAAGGTCGGAAGACTACCCCAAAGGCGGCCCAAGGGGATTGGGAGTGCTGGACATCCTGGTTGGGATCGCACGGCCCCTCCACCCCCCTCCCCACCCAGTGCCCCCTCCGGCACCGCGGGGGCTACGTGGCTTCAGGCCCCGGGGACAGGAGGCCGCCCCCAAAGGCGGCCTCGCGGTACTGGTTGGGGAACATGTTGCTGCCCACGAGGCTGGCGGTGCCTCCGTCCCCAGGGCCCGGGGCCTGGTAAGAGTCCAGAGTCAGCGGCTCAGGGCCAGGGGACTCCCCGACCGCGGCCCCGGGACCCCCGCTGCCCGTGACAGCGCTGGCGAGTGGCGGTGCCAGGGGCAGCAGGTCCAGCATGGTGAAGAGCGTGGGGGCCGTGGGGTCGTAGGCAAAGCCGTCGTCCATGAGGTCCGGCCCGCCGGGGGGCTCCAGGCCGGGCAGGGTCACGGTGCCAGGGAAGAAATCTGGGTCCGGCAGCAGGGCCGATGGCGGGAGAAACGGGCCTACAGGAAGAGAAGAGACAAGAGTGGTGGGCTTTAGGGCCAACTTCTGGCCAGCCTTGGACTCGAATGCCCTGCTGGATGCTAAATGTGTTACTGGAGTAGCCTCCTCTAATCCCAAGGAGAAGCTGTGAGTAGGGACTATGACCTTAGAGCTGGTGGTCAGTGGGTAGGAAGGCTGCCTCTGATAACAGCGGATAGGGTTGAGTTCATGGGCATTGGAGGCTGGCATGTGAGTTGAGCGAGGAAGGGCAGAGTAGGCCAGAGGGTGACTGAGATGAAGACAGGCTCTGAATCAGCTGACAGCTCTGACCACCACCCCTGTTCATCTACCCCACCACTGGCGCCACATTCGTCATGGCTATCTACACAGACGTCCAGGGCCAGCTCCCTCTCTACCCACAGAACCACTACAACAGTGGCTCCCAACCTTTTTGGCATCAGGGAATGGTTTCATGGAAGACATTTTTCCATGAATGGGGCAAAGGGGGAGGTTTTGAGATGATACAAGCACATTACATTTATTGTGCACTCACTGATAGGGTTTTGATATGAGTCTGCAAGCAATTGATTTATTATGGTCTCTGTGCAGTCAAACCTCACTGCTGCATTTACAGCTGCTCCCCAGCGCTGGCATCACCACCTCAGCTCCACCTCAGATCATCAGGCATTAGATTCCTCTAAGGAGTGTGCAACCTAGATCCTTTGCATGCACAGTTCACACTCCTATGAGAATCTAATGCTGCTGCTGATCTGACAGAACAGGAGCTCAGGCAGTAATGCAAGTGATGGGGAGTGGTTGAAAATACAGATGAAGTTTTGCTTGCTTGGTCACCATTCACCTCCTGCTGTGTAGCCTGGTTCCTAACAGGTGTGCGCCACCGCCACTGTACCCAGCTTCACTGGCCTTTTTTTTTTGAGTAGGAGTCTCACTCTGTTGCCCAGGCTGGAATGCAGTGGCCACTCCTGGCCACCGCAACCTCAGCCTTCCAAGTAGCCGGAATTACAGGCATGCGCTACCACGCCCGGCTGATTTTTTGATTTATTGTAGAGATGAGGTCTCGCTGCCCAGGCAGGTCTCAAACCCGTGGGCTCAGGTAATCCACTCACCTCAGCCTCCCAAAGGCGCGGGATTACAGACTGAGCCACTGAGCCCGGCTCATTGGCCTTTTAATATGTAATGTGGGCCATTGCTTTGTTAAATTCTGGTCATGTGGCTCATTGAGCTATGACTACCATGTTTCCTAACTTTGGTCTCCTCCCCTACCTTGGGGAAGTGAATCTCTTCTCTCTCTCTTTTTCTCTCTCTCTCTCTCATTTACTTTCTAAATAAACTATATTTTTCAATCTAAAAAAATAAAATGTGCCGGGCTCGGTGGCTCAGCCTATAATCCCGCGCCTTTGGGAGGCTGAGGTGAGTGGATTGCCTGAGCCC